ACGGACACAAGCAATAACACACTCACAAAACTGCCAATTTTGCATGGAAACAACTTACTGAAAACACATGCCTTAGGAAAACATAAGACATTTTTTTTTTATGATAACAAAATTTAAAAGCCAGCAGCCATATCCCCCTGCAGCTCTCACCTGACTACCCCCTGAAGCTAAGGAGGGTTGAGCCTGTTGAGTATGCGGATAGGAGACCTCCTGGGAAGCTACGGTTCCTGCTGGAAGTGGTGTTAGTGGGACCAGCGGGGGTGCCCACCCTGTGGTATGTGTGGGTCCCAATGCCCCAGCATAGTGGCAGGGACCCTATACTGTAGTGGGTGCCGTCTTTTGGATGGGATGTTAAACTGAGGTCCTGACTCTCAGTGGTCATTAAAGACCCCCGGACATTTCTCCATAAGAGTAGGGAGTTATCCCGGTGTCCGGGCCAAAGTTCCCCACTCAGCCTTACCATAGCCTCCCAATTGTCCCCATGTATGACTGGCTTGCACTTGCCCCGCGATGGACTGGGGCCCAATCCAGGGTGTACCCTGCCTTGCGCTCGTTGCTTGCTGGGTAGGCTCCGGCTTCTCGCGACACCGTACATAAAGTGGTTTGGCATGACATGACATGACATGATGATATTTAAAACCATTTAGTAGATGTTTAATATTCTGATGCAAAACAATCAAAGCAAGCTTTATAACATAGGAATAACCAACTTAGCATTAAGGGATGAAGAATAAAGAAAGGGCTGAAACTGGATCAATCTGTCAAATGAAATACTGCAGCCGTAATGTCTGCTCTTTAAAGGTGTTTGTTTGAAATTAAGGTATGAATGCAACAGAACTTTTTTTAAGCCCTGACTTTTCTGAATACTGTGACAAGAATCAGATAATGCTCGTAAGTGCCCAACATGAGCTTGACATGGTTAGCGACTTCATTGTTGATTAAGTTAAAATTAAAGTTTGAAATCCCCATGTTAGTTTTCACCCTGTGTTGTCATTTGAAGCATGTTAGGCATGCCCCAAAGGCATCTTTCATTAATCTGTGTAACACTGTTTGGTTAAGAGGCATGGTCTATCTCATGCTGAAATATTGATAATAATACTGCCTTACCCACTGGGGACTAAATAGGCTTTATTACAGTATGTCCAGTATTCTACAGTTTGCCTGTTAACTATTATAGGTCCTCATGCTAATATTTATGGCAACAGTCATCCTTCAAACTAGTAGAGCTTACTGCATAAATAACATTAAATCTTATTCCAACAAAGACCAGGCACCATGTCTGTGGAACCCATTACCTCAATCCATCAGAGAATTTGATACTGTCAAAAGTGTCTAAAACGTGCCTATAGATTTCTGTTCTCTATATGGCTTTTAACACATATTTATGATTTTACTGGGTCAAATAAGTGCACCCTTTTTTTTGTTATGTGCATCATGTTGTACAACACCTTGAGCTTTTTAAGCTTTATTCTTCATATTATTGTTATTATATATAATTGGATAGATTTTCTCTGTATATAACAGAAGAGTAAACATTGCATTGTATTTGTTTTTTTCAAAAGGTTAACGTGATAACATACCCAACAAATCGTAGTGCAGGTCTTTTGACACACCAGTGTATTAGGGCTTTTTATTTTGCTTGTCCTGCATATTAAGTTTGTCACTCACAAATTCACATCCGCTCTTTAATGGGAACACTAGCTTCAAGTGCAAAAGCTCACGAATGGGTAGAATTCCCTTACGTAGAAACTAATAAAAGTCCCTTTAAAAAATGCATGAATAGAAGCAGTGTGAGCCTAAACGTTATACAGTGGTATTGGGTACTAAGACACAGGACTTTCTTGAAAGAGGATAAACTGAGCTTCAATCCCGTGACACCTAGCCATAAAACCCACTGATGTCAATCCAGACTGCCAAGTGAGCATAAGTGGAAATATTCAGCACAGAGAAAACTGTGTGCCAATTTTCAGAAACTTAACTAGAGGATTAGTATTTTTAGATATGCTATAATCGCATTGTATTTTGTTGTTTCTAGAAAAAACTGAAGTACAGTAATAATAAAGTTTAAAATGAATGCCCATAAAATATTACCACCCACATCTACACAAATGTAAATCTCCTAAATTTCGACTGACTGGTGGCAGTCTGAAAGAGACATCTGTGCATTTACTCCAAAAGAACTCACAGACACATCTACACGATACACAACACATTTATCTGATCATGTCAAGTAAAGGAGTCAACTAAATGACCAAATGGGTTACTATGTAGCTGCACAGTAATATCAGAAGATCAGATCACACTTAGACTGAAAACTTGATTCTGATTAAACTCTTCAATTATTTAAATATAGTTTTCATATTATGAGATTACGGAGTAAAACAATATTGCATTGACATTTCTGGGATGTTAAATTAAGGTTAAGTGGCACTTTTTAACTCACACATTTGTAATGTTCAAATTTCTAATGAACATAAGAAAAGTTACAAACAGAAGGTAATTTGGTTCTTCCCAGAATTTTATCTTTCTCTTAAAGAATACAAACATACATCCATTTTCTAACTCTTTTACCCAGTACAGGGAGCCTATCCCAGCAAGCAACAGGCGCAAGGCAAAATACACACTGGATGAGATACTAGTCCATCGGCACAAACACACACTCACACCCAGGGCAATTATTCCAGAAGGAAACCCATGCAAACATGGGGAGAGCATACAGACTATAAGAAGATAGCACCCCAGGAATTGAACCCAGAGCTCCAAGGCTACAAGGCAGCATTGCACACCAACAAGCCTACCACAATGCAAACATTTTATGTGGTAATCTTCCTGAAGCAGCTTTGAAACTAGTTCCTCCCTGTAATTTTTGTAGTTCATTTTAAACCTTCCCATTACAAACCCAAACAAAAAAACAAAAAGACACAAATTAACTAATCAGCTTTCTAGCACTCCTATAATTTTTTTACTACTGTATATACTGTACAGCACTGCTTTTTGTAAGAAGACTTTAAAATGTATGTGCAGCTACTGAAACAATGCTTATTATAACAAAGTTAAAATGTTTAAATATTTAAAACATCTAATACTGCATTTACTACAATTTAAAGGACCGGGCTAGAATTTATGTAACTATTTTCTATATTAAAAAATAAAGTTGCTATGAAAAGGACAATGTCCTGATTTACTGTACTAAACTTGTTATATAAGAATTTACTTTTGGAAAAAGAAAAGGCTTATGCTGTGAATAACATGGAATTTATTAATATAATATTTACATTTTGATAATTTTTATTCGCTTTATACATCCATGACTTTGTAAACAGTATAATAAGGTTCAGAGTAAACAATTTTTTAATTGCAATATAAGGTGGAATTTTTTACTGGCATTATGCGATTAGAATATGGTTTTCATATGCACCTGTATTCCATGGTGTTCTTTGTAACATCTTTTGTACGTTTATCTCAAATGCTACGTTTGTACCATTCCATGGTGTTGTAATCTAATTAAACAGAAAGGCTGAATCCCTAAGTCTTAAGACTTAAAGTAGGCAGAAGATTCAATATGATCAAATACTGTTGACATGTCAGGCAAAGTACAGATGTTTTTTTTCAAACAAGACTCACATTTTTATATATTTTTTTACTATTAAGTGTATTGCATTCATTCTGTTGTTTCTTATACCTTTTTACAACAAACCTCTAAAAAATATGTACAGTAGCTTGGATGACCTATCAGATAGTGAGAGGCGGACATACAGTATATCCATAGTTGCTTAGACAAGAATAGCAATAATTAGAGAGCAACAGAGCTGGTTAATTTCAAAGCAAAGACACATAATTTCTTTAGAAAGAAAAATCCAATAAGACTGCAATGATTGAGCTAACATGTCTGACTGACACCTCCATACATGTACAGCATAACTGTTTACATGGATGTGCTGAGTAGTACACATTGCAAATAACCATCTTAATTCATGTTACGATGAACCTCCGACACTGGTGTCGCTGAATTCAATAGAAATAACTAAAGCATGACAGCAAGAATTTACGTCTATGCTGAATGTTAAGGAAGGGTCTAATTTAAGGTCTATTAGAATATTTGTTTTGTCGTTTAGATAAATTATAACCGATTTTCAGTTAATGCTTAGTCCAATACAGGGCTGTGGCGAACCAAAGACTATCACGAGAGATAACGTGTGCAAGTCAGAATACAACCTGACTGTGTGTCCGTCAAAAGGCACACACACATTTATATAGGGACCATTTAAAAAAGACAAGTAACCTCCACAGCGTGGGAGACTGCGGGCATCCGGTGTAAAGCCAGGCGTCCACTAGGACCTAGTAGGAGAACAGGAAAACTCCAAACAGAATGTGTCTCAGGCGGGAACTCACTCCTGCAGTTGCAAGGCAGCAACGCTAACCGCTACATTACCGTGAAACTCCATTCTGATACTGTCATCAAGCCAATTTAAAATAAAATTTGATTTAAAAGTACCATTTTATGCCTTAGATGGCGAATCGCTTAAAATTTAACAACGATGGTCTGGGATCACGTTATTTTAGTTTAGGGTTAATGAACATTGCTTTAATTGACCTCATGTTAAAAACAAGATATTTTATTTCTTGACAGTTTTCGGAAAACGCAAATTGTCACTAGCATATTAAAAAATATGGTAAAGGCATACTTCTCACGATACTTTTTTACATCTGTATGCGTACTTATCTGTCTAAATGTGTCAACATTAATGTCGAAGTAAGCCACTTGTTTCAATGTATCTCAAGTTTGCACATCGGTCATTGATTAAAGTTGACTGAACAAGGCAGAGGTTATAGTTCATCTACATGTTAAAATTAAATTATTGGTATATTATTAGTTAATTTTTTCATTGTTGTAAACAACGTTAAAATAAAATATTTATTTCTTAGCTACTGTATAAGATTAAGGACTTTTTATATTTATCATTTTGTATAGCGAACGGCTGCAATCGCGGCAGGACGCTTAGTAGATTACAGATGTACTCGCTCTGAAGCTTAGGGGCCTTGAAGGAAATCTGGCTAAAGATGGAATTTATTATATCGCATAGTCCGTTTTATGTTTGGTAAATAAAAAATAAGGCATTTGCTCAGATAAATAAACCAAAACAGGTACGCATTAAAGGGAAAAATAATTAGGTAATAATAAGTAAAAACGACGGGACATTACCATTTTGAGCGCTTGTTAAGATAACTCGCATAGTTCCCCGTGGAATTTTGAAATAGTAACTAAGAAAAAAGAAACTGAAAACGGTTCAATACTATATCGCATGGGATGTGTAGCTGGTCGCCCAGCTAGCCTAACCATTTTTGTGGTTAAGGCGTTATATATTTGCAAAACAGTGTTTTGCCAAAGCACGTTATCTTCTTGCTGAGGTAGAGTTCGTTTTTCGCACTGATATTAATAAAAGTACATGCATATTTTGGCGCAATGAAAAATGTAAAGTTTATTGCAGGAGAAGAATATTTAGTCCTATAAATAAAATGCTTTAAAGAAGCTCGCATGCTTCTGGGTTTACTTCTTTTGGCGGGGGGATGATGAAGAAGCGGGTTATTTGGCTGATAAATGGAATAAACAGAAGAATGATGAAGCTGATGTTTGCCCTCGCTTTGATCGCCTATGTTGCCTGTAAGTAACGAGATGCCTCGCCTGCAGAAAACTGTATGATTGTGTGAAGACACTCATGTACGCCGCTGTTGATAGAAACAGCTAAGAGGAAAATGTGTTTCAAATGAATATTTCCTAAGTGGACAGAGATACACTTTGGTCTCATCCTTCTTCGTTAAAATAAACCTTCAATTAAGTTAAAATGTAGCCCACGTTTAGGCAGTTAAACGTCCCGCTTCTAAAGACTATCAGGAAATCTTGTTATGTGAATGTATTGTGTATCGTACTCAATTTATTGTTGACTTTTCAATTAAGTAGAAAAAACTTTTATAACATGTTATTCTTAATCAGAACAATTTCAGAAAGTAAAATAAAATTATCAAGTAATGTCTCTTTACAGGATTGTCTGTAAATCCTCTCTATTCTTATGCATTCGTCATGACCGTACGTACTTGCTTTTATAGGACTGCTAAGTACTATGCACTAACTTTGGCTGTGGAGATACACTACAAAGACTCAACAATGTTTAGGTGTCTGTGATGAGACCTTGTGTTCTTACTAATGCATGTGGTACTGCGCTTGTTGTGATAGGATGCAAGGTCTGGTAAGAAAAACACGTTAAGTAGTACTTTAGACAGCTTTGCTGTGGTCGATGAAAGGTGTTAGCAGTTTAGATAAGATCCTACTTGGATGTAATGTGCTATAGTAGCAACGCACTGACAAGATCTACAGTACTACTCCTGCATAGAGCACTGCAAACTACAGACTTTGATTGTGTTCACTTTCTTTCTCTTTTTTATTTATCTTTTTTTTTCTTTCCAGACTGTCCCTTTCTGACATATTTAACCTTGCTGAACATTTGTGTTGTACCATGAGTTTAGACTCAAGTGAGCTTGAGCATATTCTCAGTTTTGGTCTCCGTGTTACAAAATGGATTTTTCTGCTCTGGAGTCAGTTCTTAGAAGAGTAAACTATTCCATTCCATAATTTAAAGAAATACTCTACACAGAAAGTCTAAAGGAACTAAACCTTTTTATTCTTCAGCAGAGAGGACTATGAGGTGATAATTGCGTAATTGCAGATTTACTGATACACTCCATTTGAGGTCGTGGCTGGGGAATTCTCAGTTCTTTAGTAATTATTAAGTGCTTGTGACTTCCAAAGTAGAGCAAGGTGTTACTTTGCAATTGCTTCGGTATACTGATAATTCAGTTGATGTTCTGTACGTAACTCTGCTGCTGTATTCCTAATTTACCCCCAGATAAGATAAATCACTTTATTGAACATATACAATTTCTTGTATTAGGAATTTGTCTTTTCCCATGCTACAACTTGCTCTCCATAAGACACACAGACAGGGAGAGAAGCTTGGGGTCAGAGCGCAGGGTCTGCCATTGTACGGCGGCCCTGGAGCAGTTAGGGTTAAGGGCCTTGCTCAGGGGCCCAACGGAGTAGGATTCCTCTGCCGGCTGTGGGATATGAACCTTCCAGCCACAGGCACAGATCCTTAGCCACAGAGCCACTGCACCGCCCCAACAACATAAAGGATGAAAGAATTGAAAAAGGCCTTATGTTTGCACAGCTGAAGCCCAATGTGACGCAAACAGCTTATGCGCCTGCAGATGTTTTGATACAAAAAAACAGTATTCAACATTTATTATGTGCCCCAGCACATCTGTGAGCTTTTTAACCATGAGATAGTGAAGTTTCCTGTCGGTGCGTGTGGACCTACTCGAACTGTTTTTACTATGCATTCATGTGATATCTTCAGTCTCTGCACCGAGACAGAATTAAAGTGATCACACCATTTCCTTTGATTCTTAATAGCAGTACAAAGAGTTATATCCACTAGCAACAAACAGACATTATATTCATACTGTATTTAACTGTATTTAGTCCATGTTTTAACATTATTGAAAAAAAAACCTAAGTATTATTTTTTACATGGCTTTTATCCTGTATAAAACCCAGTTCCTGTATTTTGCCATCTTTACTGCCTGTTTACTGATGACCAACAAGTGTCTTGATGTGATGTTGGTGATGTCCAGTTCCTAACAGTTGTAAAAATAAAAACTGGACAGCAGTGTATATTAAAACTTTGGTTTTTATGTTTATTCCCACAGCGCTCAATTAGGATTGATTTTTTTTCTAAGAAGACCACAATATAGTGCATATAAACGTAGACATAAAAATAAATTTAATCTATTAAAAATAAGGATAATTTAAATGTTGCTTTTATTAGGGAGCCAACCAATAAAGGAACCCTGCAGCTATTGTTCACATTTGTATTCCTAATTTCTTTGTTTATTTTATCATAATCTCCTGGATTAATGATCATGAATTTTAGAAGGATTATAGAGAGCAATGAGAAATTGTCTAAGTGAGCATTTTGTAGGTTTAAGCAGTTCAGGTGGGTAGCTGGGTCAGAATGTGTAGGCTGCAAAGGAACACTTAGTAGGTTTATTCCATGCTGAAAAGAGAAGAAAGAAAACACAATGTTTCGGCTGCTCCACAGTTTTCTTTCTTCTGTTTTCAGCATGGAATAAACCTATTTTGTAGGTTTGTCCATTTATTCAGTTAGATGAATTTTGAGAATGTCAATTTTAAATACTCTTTTTCATTTTAAGCCATTCCCATGATAAGGCTCGTCATAACAAGTTGATTGTTTACACGGTTAAGCCATCATCTTGAAATTGGTGAAAAGGGCTTAACCTAATTCTCCACAAAAATGTATAGGCTAAACAAAGAGAAACTTTGTATACGTAAATTAGGTTGTGTTATCTGTCAGGATCTTACATGGCAAGATTTTTCCTTAGGTGATCATGACCTCAATGAACCTGTGAATGAGCCTGTGTAATATATGTAAATCAAGCTGAGCTAATGCTTAAGTGAAACACACTGACAGAACTTCGTAAACTCCCATAGATCACCTGGATCTAGAAAGGCTGTGGAAGTGTAGCTGTTTGCTTACCTTACATTGGACACATGGTGTGGCTGTCATTTGCAGGTATTCAAACATATTCATCATTATTTTAAAAATTAATAACACAACTGTGGTGTATTAAATACTTTCAGAAAATACATGCTTTTGAAGTCTCCATCCTAGAGCATTCCAAGCTAAAGATCATTCTATATTCCTCAATGCTTAATTCCAAAAGGTTCTGTTGTCTGGGGCCTTGTTTATGTGGGATCACTTATTAGATCAAATAAAAACAGCAATACAAATACATTCCAATCTGAAGTGAAAACAAAGTCCTTTAAACAAAATTTTAGAATGTCCACACTTGTAGATATTCTATTAAAGAATTGATCAATGAGTTCCAAGACCTTGACATTGCACAAGACAATGTACTAATGCTAATTCTGTTAGATCATGGCCATAGGCAGAATACAAAAACCTAAATCATCAGATCTGTGACTAAGTTTTGGACTATAATCCTTCAGTAAATCTTCCAACATAATCTGGATCCCAACTGTTCAGTGTCTTGTATGTCATCAATATTTTAAACATAAGAGGGCCAATGTAATTACACAGGACAGAATTTATATATAGAAGAGAGTTGTGTTAGTCATAGACTCCTGGACATATCAAAGTCTGTTTAGTAATTTAGTAATTATTTCAGTACATAAAACATGATAGCAGTCTAATCCTGATTAATTAAAGACTGGTAATATTATGTCCGCATTGGAGCATTATGTCAGTATTGGACCTTAACCAAGCTCTGTTACAGTTTCACTTGCTGTATGACCTTGAGGAGCTGGCTGAAAGGCAGAGGAAGAAGAAGGAAAGAGGAGATAGGAGAATATAATGAAGATTATGAATATAATGAAGACAGGTATGAGGTAGAAGGTATGAGGAATCTCATGAAGTAGTTGCTGGATTTTGTGTAATGGAAGAGAAATTTACTAGATCACAGAAAAAATAGAACTGGCTTATAATAACTTTACAGATGGGAATGGTTTATTTGTTAACACATTTCCACTCTTTTCCATGCTGTAAACAGATACCTAATCCCATCTTTCCAATGCTGTTTACAGAAAGCTATTTCTCAGAAGCTAATCTCTTCTGATGCTGTACAAGCCACTACCATTTTTCAGTTTCATTAATTGTGATGAAAAACTTTGTCAATGAATGTTCACTCCAGCTCATTAGAACTGAAAAAAACTGAAGATTTTAAAAGACATTGCATAAATCCACTTTTGATCTTGGAAATGTCCTAATCATTTTAAAACAACATGGCACAACATTCATTTAATTAATTTTATTCTTGATGGAATTTGAAGACATTTGGTTAGTTATACTGTATGATCCTTGTACAGACCTGTTTTGACAGATCTTCTATCTTAGTCAGAAGGCCCCTGTTTATGGCTTTTTTTTCTCACCACGTTTTCAAAAGAAATAGTTTTTTTATGAAATATTGAGTTGCTCAACCTCTAAACCTTAAACCTGTCATTGTGTGCTTGGTTAGAAATATTTATTATTGACTTTTAAAAACAAGGCTATTCAAGGTTAATTCCACTGTGAAAAATAGAAGAAAACAATGTTTTGATTGTGAAATCTTCATCACCACACCTGATTTGGCTGAGATCCACAAGAGTTTGTGTGACTGATTGCTTTGAATCTAGATTGTATTTGAAAATCAACTTGTACACTGTCATACTAAGTCTGATTCATGCAATTCATACGTCTGATTTTTTTATAAGCAGAATAATAGCTGTTTTTCTTTAGTGCACTAGTTAGTATGCATTAATTATTGTGTACACTGTGCATAGAAATTATGCAGAGAAATGAAATGCTGTAATCCTAATGCAGTTAGCTTAATACTTGTTTGACAAGTATTAGAAGCAACATTGCACTGAAAAGTAAATATTAGCTTAAGACAAAATGTTCTGATAGCTTTATCTGTAAGGACACAATGACAACACTCATCAATACTCAGTATCATTACAGCTAAAATCTCAAGTTCTATGCTTACAAATTTTGAAGGTATTATTTATCTTTAATACAGTATCCTTTTTAAGTCTTTTAATAATTTCTTTGTCAAAACATATTGACACTGCTGATAAATTGTTTTTGGAGAGGCAGTTACGTAGAGTAGTGGTTAGGGCTCTGTACTCAAGACCAGAGGTTTGTGGTTTTTAATCCCAGACAGAATCCTATTGTTGTGCCCTAGACTAGAGTAATGTACTTTACTCAGATTGCACTAGTAATTGCCTTGCTGTACTAATGGGTACTCTCCATGTAAGTCATTGTAAAGCTGATTAGTTCTCCGTTGCCTAATCTGGTTAAATAAATGATTACAAAGTATTGTTTTTTTCCCTGAGCGTTTCCTAGTTTAAAAAAATGCTTTCTTTGAGTAATTCTTAATTATTTCAAAATGCTCCAGAGATTCTTTCAAAGTGCATTTTATGGATATTTTTTGACATGATGGTCGCATTTATTCACATCCAAGGTAACTGGTATTTTGTCAGTCCTCCTCTGGCATGGATAACACTGACGGGATGCCTCCTGCTATGAGGCTGCGGCACTTCTGAGGGGGAATTCCAACAATTCCTCTTACCAGGTCTTTCTAAGTCCTTTAGGTCTTTTCTTTTTGTTTGTGAATCTCTGTTTTGAATTTGATTGGATTAATGTCCGGCGATTTGGGTGATCAGCCAAGAACATTTATTTGTGTGTGGCATTAATGTCTTCTTTCTCAGTTTTGATGCAGGCTTTGTATCATTGTTATCTTAAAATATCCAATTTCAGCCCAGCTAGAGCTTCTTGGTAGAAGGACCCCAAAACATAAAAGACCTCACACCGTGTTTCGCAGTGGACATGAGTGTTTTCTAAACACAACCTTTATTTTTTAACACCAGACCAAAGGCTAGTCCATATTTGGACCACCTCATTATAATTTACATCTAGATTCTGATGTCAACCCAGAAGATTCTGCAAATAAATAGAATTCACCTAATGGATGACATTTATTTTAGTTGCATGCTGTCAGCAATGTTTTACTAGCAACCAAATAGACTAAGTTGAATGAATACAATATATAACCTTTTTATTGTCATATCTAACAATTTGAATAGTGAAGAAAAAATATCCTCCAGACTACATAGATGTCCACAGGAAATGCACTAAAATCATATTGCCTGTTATTAAAAGCCGTATTGTTTTCTGTTTTTCTTAGCTGTTTTAATTTATTTCATTTAAAATAATATAGCTTATAATAATAGTATGCATGATGTCTGTCTTGATAGTATTGGTGGAAGATAATACTGCCTGCAGAAAAATATTTTAGAATAACTCAAATATTTCAATCAAAGTACTTCTCAAGGTTTGTACTATCAATTACAAATTATAGCAAAAAAGTGATATAGGCTGTTTACATATAAAGAAAGAACAATCAGTGAGTTAATTAACAAGTAAGGGGTATAAGCGCTGTTCAGAATGATAGTAACCTTGTCTCTCTTGTGTTCTCAAACTCCCTGACTCTCCTGCAGTGTGTGTTCAGTCCAGTGATATTTAGTATTAATGAAATAATGGACATTCTTTGATAGAACATAAACAATTAAAATGTGAATAAAAGTACAATGTTATCTTAAGGAAAACAATGCTTGTGTTTTTAATTTCTTTATCATCCATATTTTTTTTATTTTTCAGCTGTTTGGGGGACCTACACGAACATGAGGTACAGTAGTGCTTTTGTTGTTTAAAATTTTAAACTGTTCTTAATGAGCAAATTAAATATAGGATTAACAGTTTTAAAAGTGGAGTTGGATAGAAATCATTGTGTAGCCTAGTAAGTTAAGACCACATTGTAATGATAATGAACAAAATCAGAAAGGAGAAATAAATTGAAAAGAAAAGAAAATAAAACACTAGAAATAAGTAGATAGTCATTGCACTCAACCCTTGTCTGAATGTTTGTGTATAAACAATTAAGAAGGTGCTCCTTTATTGTGGGAATGCATCCTTTGATGGAAAAATAACTTACTGTTTTCATTGTTGTATATAATGAAAATACATTTTGTACAGGTCTCTGCACTGATTTTAAATGTACCCATATTGAATATTCTGATGCTATTAGGTTACAAAATGATAATTTTACTAGATTCATAGCATAAGGAGATGGCTACAGTGAATCAAGAGTTCAATACAAAAATAAGTTTTGTCTGGAGAAACTCAAACTGCCAGTTCCATTTTGAGTATTCCACATTACCTCTGCATTTTCCCCTTTGCAATCCTTGCACACCTTGGTGCTCCAGTGAACCCCTGGAGATTTAATTGTATAGTTCATATTATAACTCATTGGCTGTCCTCTTGATAACATCCAGGTTCGTTATGTTTCTCTGGAATTCCCCAAAAGAACAATGATAACCTAACATTTTCAGGGTTACAGGAGAAAGATGGGAAAGAGGTGAGAGGTTAAGATTACACAGGTGCATGTAATAAGGAATAAAGGCAATTATGTCACTGAAAATAGTTAAAGGTGCTCCATGATGTAGATATTGTAACTCCTGTTTTGTCTACCCATGCTTGGCTTTCATAACTGCATTACCGGTAGCTAAGATGCTTACCTTGGAGGGTGGCATGGCAATTTTGCCAGATACAGTACCTAAGCCTAGAACATGCTGCTAATGAGGGTAGTATAGTTCATGTTCATTGTACTACTTTCCAATGCAAGGTCTATCAGTACTGAGTCTTCCAAATAACCGTGGGATATCACTTACACACTCCATTGAAACTGTTCCGTTTAGGTTACACCTCTCATAGAGCTCTAGGCCTGTTTTTGCTATGGTCAAACCACAATGTGGCAACTATGGGTTCACCCACTGATGATGTAGGGTTGTCGTTGGTGTTGTCACTATTTAGAGTGCTAGATCACTTTTCACCAGGCACTTCAATTCTATAAATTGCAACTATTTGAACTGTGGTGCCTGGACCACAATCAGGTCAACAGTTCACTGCTTAGTTGCAGTGATCCAGCATTCTTTCTTGAATGAATGATGGTCACCCACCTTTAAGTGTACCTCCTTCTATTTCTCTGTATCACCCCAGCATTAATTGGGGGGTGTCCAGGTGATTCCTTTCTCCCAGTTCTATAAATGTACAAGGAAGTATCTTTGCTCTCTAAGACCTCTTCTTTTTCCAGCCATTTCCAGAAATATGTAACTGTCCGTTGCATTGTTGTGGAGACTAGATTGAACCAATACACTGTAAAGACTACTTGCTTGTCAATTACCCCTGTAGGGTTTTGGTTCAGGTTGTGTCAAACGTAACCCTTTCTCTGACAAATATTTTCTTCTTCAGGTCCATACAGGAAAATGGCGAACTTAAGATTGACCGGAAAATAGAAGAGGTTAGTGATGTTTTTTTTTTTCCATTGTTACTTTTGTGTCATAATCCCAAGTAAAAGCAGTGCTTAGTTTGCATGCAGGCTTCTGAAATTGCCAGTTCATAGACCCCTTACCTTTTAGTCTGAAGCTTCAGTCTAAGACCACACTGCTAATGCTGCATGTTAGAATTTAGCAGATTATTATGTATATTATGTGATCAAACAGTTTCTCTTATGTCCTTCATTACTGTCCTCCATTCAGCCTTAAACTTTAATTATATAACATGTCCTGCTTCTGAAATGTAGGTCAGTTGAATGTTCAGTACTGCGTGCATGTCTTGCAATGTTCTACATGAGTGTCAGTAAAGGTAGTGGTGGATCATGTAGCTATGTCGAAAGGTCACATTTGAAAATCAAAAGGGAGGATGAAATGATTGCAAATTTACCAGGAAGTTTTGTGAAACACAGTAGTGTAAACCCTGTCGGGCATACAGGAAAAATGACATGAGCAAAAACAAAAAAGCTAAAAATAAAAATGCAGACGTGCACTTTTGATTGCATATATTAATAATATAGACCATAGGAAATATAGATAATGTAGCATTGTGATAAATATAGATGTTCTTATAGATTGAACTGAGAAAAAATGTCCAAAACCCTGAAAAAAATGTCTTGTTTATGAGTGGATCAGATGGTTGATCCATTGCAAGCTTGGCTGAGATGTGTATCAGCAATTAAGGCTCTGAGAAATTGCACAAAATAAAGCTGTCAAAAGCTTTAGCTAACTATTCTCTAGATAGAACACTGACAACAAAAACACTCCATAAATAGATAATTAAACATGCACACAGCAAAGCACATAAGCAGAAAAGACACAGATGAGCAGACCTCCTCCAAATGTTTATTTTCTGTTTGCTTTTAAAGTTTAAAATGGTCTAATACAGCCTGTATAAGGCTCATGTAGAGGTAACAAGCAAACAGCTTCCATGTTTGCTTATAAAGAAACAAAGCAGATGTTCATTTGCATTGCCCTTTTGAACAAAAAATTGACTGCCTGCAGTCAAATGATCAGGACATAGTAAAGATTTTGCAATCCAACATAGTATGCTCTAATATGCAGGATTATATTTTCTTGGAAATATAATGAATTGTAATGAATTTTTAGCACTTCCTGCTGAACTGTTTTGCTTGTTGATGGCTTGAATAAAAACGAGTGATTTGATGGTGGGTGCAGTTAGCTGATATAAATGCTCCAATTAATATTTTACCAAATTTATACTATTAGTGATTTATCTGCAGTGGAATCGTGACAAGTTCAATGTGTATCATCTGAAAGTATTTGTTAGCAATGGCTTATGTTGGCACTTCGTAGTGTTTGGATAAAATACTAGAGATGTGAGCCAGCTGCAAGCAATGTTTCCAGATGTTGTAGTGGGGGTAATGATCTACTCATTGGTTAGAACCTGCAGTCAGTAATGTTATGAAAGATGTGGAAGGCACAAAACATTTCAAAAGTCTTACTAGACAACTTAAATTTCCTCCATGTTCCCCCCCAAAAAAACAGACTGGATCTAAAAGAATGTGACAAAGTGCTTGACATTTAAACTATGCATAATCTATCCATCCTTCCATTTTCTATGCACTTCAAGGTCATGGTGAAGCCAGAGTCTATCACGGCAAGCCACAGGTACAAAGCAGGTTAGATCCTGGATGGAACCCAATCCATTGCAGAGCACACATAAGCACTCACACCTAGGGCCAATGTTCCCAGAAGCCAAGTAACCTACCACTGTATTTTTGGATTGTGGAAACCCAAACAAAGTCCATGCAGATAGCACCTCAGGTGCAGAATTGAACCCTGGGACCCAGCAATGCAAGGCAGCATTGCTAATCACAGTTATTACCACTGTGCCTTATCAGTTTAAAATATATGATGGGTTAATTAACTACTCACGAGGCTTTAAACTGCAGTGATCTTGGTATTATACATAAAGCTCTGCAGGGGTTGTCAGAGGTGTCCGTTAAAAGCAAAAATCAGACTGCAGAGTCAAAGATGCACACAGAGCCATTCCTCAATAAATAATGGTATTTGAATTGATGGTTAACAAGCAAGGGTAATATTATGTTAGAGTGCAATCAAAAATGTTTCATGAAGGAAAATCTTAACACATAGATTGTAAAACAAGAATATTGTGTAGTAAATGATTTGCTACAGTTTTCAGATCCTGTTTAACTCTGCATATTTTAAAACATAAACGTTTCTGTTGATTATTCAATCAATACATGATTTATTTTATTTTGTTCTATGTGCAAGATATTAACTATAGTACATAAGTGGTAGTTTTATTGTCCCACTGTAATGAGTGACATAGTTCTGTGATATCATCTCCACTTACAGCTATTGTGCTTTTTCATTGCGATTTAAGCACTGAGTAAATGAATGTATTTGACTAATCAGTTCTGTATTGTTACAGTCCAACAAATTAAAAAAATGTCTCTATAAATACCCGATTGAATCAGCTTAGGTAGAGTTTTCTGTTTACCTATGTGTTATGATAAGGGATTGTCTTGAACTTCTGGCCTGGGCTCTGCAATTAGTTTGATGAAGTGTTTGAAGAGAATATTGTAAATCCCCTTTAAATTCCTAAAGAACTCAATCACATTTTTCAGAATTGACGTTTGTTCTAAGCTAAAGAGGTTCAGTCCCCTGACCTGTCCCTGTGTTAAATGCCTTTAAATATTAGGATTAGTGTCTTTTCTGAGCCTGAGACTTTTTTGTAGCTCATATGTAATCCTTAATCCGTCTTTTTTCTCTTTATACTTTGTAAGAAATAGCTAATCCTTTTAGAACTTCTTTTGTAGTCAGAGCACCAGTAAGGTAGAGTTTGTGTTGATCAGATCTTTTGAATTGATGCAATTAGAGTAAGAAACAGTAGAATTAAGAGACGCATTGGGAAATCATGACCTCAGTGTGATCACTTTTGAGGTATATTTCAAAGGCAGAATTGCAGAGTCTAAAGGGATGGTTTATGATTTTAGAAAGGCTAGCTTTAAGAGAATTAGAACTTAAGTGAAAGGGATTGAAATTAATTAAGACTTCATCAGAAAATATATGATTACACTTCAGAAATGTAGTTCTAGAAGAATAAAAAAAATAATCCCAAAGGTTAACAAATCCTGGTCTAAACTTCTTAGGCCATTATTAAACAGGTTTATAATACTAAGGCCTATGGATTAATCTTAATGGATCATTAGAAATAAATATAAAATATTAGCACAGAACAAACTCTTAGCTATAAGCATAAGTCAAGAAACATTTCAGAAAACCAAGAGAAAGAAAGCAATATACTGTAGCTATGGCAACCCAAAACTAATGTCAAGGGCTTTTTTCAGTGTTGCAATAAGAAAAGATCAGAAAGGGAGGAAATGAAGCATCTCAGAGATAAAATGGTTGCTATAGAAGATGAATAGGTGATGGTGAAAGTTTTCAGTGGTAACTTTATATAGAGTTAATTTTCCAACAAAGAATAAATTAATATTGTGTCACAGGTAAAAAGACAAGTCACCTTTAAACCATTTTAGCAGATTAGGGAATGGGGTATTGAAATGACTAAGAGAATGTCAATCATTAAAACCAGCCATTATTTATTTACTTGAATTCAAAGACATGAGTGACATCACTTATAATTCACTAGGTTGGGACTTCAAAGTGCCCAATGATTATTTAGTCCCTTTTACATTTTTTTCAAAGCCTGGGAATTATAAAGAATGTTTTTTCCTGTCATAAAAAGAATATGATAAGGGAACAAAATCTTTTTTTTTTTTTAGTTTGGATCAAAGAAGGTTATGTGGGGACTCAAGAATGGAAACCTAATTTGTAACCTTCTTTATGTTCTTAATTTTCTTTGGCTTTGAGTGAAAATCCAGTGCATAGCACTGTGAGTGTGATGTTACTTGACCATGAAAATTTAAACACTAGGATATAGGCAACTTAAATGTTACAGTAGTTCTTTAGGATCTGAACATTTTTATATATTATATTTCTCATCAAATACTGACTTAGAGAATGTGATAAAGCAAGAAAAAGATTACTGTATATCAATGTAGATAAGGGAGGGGCAAATTTGTTAACAGAATTTTAAAATGTTATGAAATTTTCTTGTCTTTATTTTCTGGTTCACATGCTATCAGTAAAACTGCAAATAGAATATATATTTCTGGTAAAATACAGGCATAATTTTTCTCATCTAAATTCAATTGCAATTATTTTGGTATCAGTTGTAATATCTGCAATGATATCAGAAGAATTCTCATTACACTAAAGAAATCAATTACATTTATTGAGAGTCAATATTTTCAATTTCTCACATATACTGTAACTGTGATTTTCTTAATATGGTTATTTTTAAAGACCTCATCAATATTAACACAATTGTAAGCCTGTTAATTGTTTTTTTTTCTGTTTAAGATTGTTGGTCCTCTCCGGGAGAAAATCAGAGATTTGGAAGTCAGGTATACTTTCCTTCCTTGATATGAATAAAAACTCTGTATGTTTACTAAAACCTCTATAAGCCGTTTGATTCAGACACAGTATTGAACTGTTTTATATGTCCCATTTGCTCTTGTTTTGAGATTACTTACAGTTATCCTTTTCAACAAATTAACTTCATAAAGTAATTGCATAAAAAATAAAGTAAAATGCAGATGCACTTTAATTATTCAGGATCGTATTATGAGAAGTAGGAAGGTTCTCAAAAGGTTTCTAATAGGAAGTAGTATTTCCTATAAAAATATATATTTATGTTTCTTTTTAAAGAAAACAGCTGCAATGCCTTTTCAACCATATTTTTACTGTAATACAAATAGAGTGAAAAATAAATTAAAAGTATGTAAGCAGAAGGCTTTTCAAGACTTTCAAACAAGGTCCACTTGAATTGTGTGAGTGAACAGTGAGAAAAGTGAAGGGAATCAAGAATGATAAGAAAGGAGAGTCAATGCGAGGAATTTCAAGTGACCTGTTTTTCACAGGGGATCAGCGTTGGTGTAAAGGCAGAGCTTGGATGTAGAACTGCAAAGATGATGGAAAGAGAGATATAAAAAGAGATGATTAAAAGAGCGATAGTTATGGAATTAACCTAACATCCATTGGAGAACTGATTTCACAGTTGGTGGCCAGCTGGTCACAGCAACTTGCTTGTGGTCATCAAGATAAGGATACCTTGGATAAATTAAATCTTTCCCAACCAAGACAGTCAAATATTTGAAGTCACTTGGGGAATCGCACTCACAGTGTAGCTAATGACATGGTCCAGGATCAAACCTGTGAACTATAAGGCCTGAGCTACACACTGTTGAGACAGTTAGGAGCCTCATACTTTTATTTTCCAATAGTGTTTTGTATTTTTTCCTATTCCATCAATAGCCTGCATCTCTCAAATTTCATTAATACATTTTTTACCTTTTTTTTAGTTTCACACAGAAATATCCACCTGTTAAGTTCCTGTCTGAGAAAGACCGCAAAAGAATCTTGGTAAGTGTTCCCCTTACAAATTTCTATTAACAAATTTCCATGTGTTAATAGAGAAGAGCAGCTTTTCTGATTCCCTGGACCTCTGAATTCATATATAGCAATATAGCTGTGTTACAAGGATTATTCTTCCTTAAACACTGTAGGCACATGAAGATCCACCTGCGAGCATGGCTAATCATGAAATTCTAATAATAATAAACCATAAATCAGATAATATGAATATCTGACTACTGTAGCTTGGCACTCATGTGCGGTTATTTGTGTAGCCATCTGTTGTGGGCATCTGACTTTGACGTGTATTTTGTGTGCATGAGCATGCATATTTCATGAATACCTTGACATGTTTGATTTTGTAGATAGCTTATGAAACTGTATGTTGATGTGGTCCAACTGAAAGTTACTGTACTTCTTTTGGATTCCAATAACATTCCTTGTTACAAAGGGAGTTTTGATTGATTCACAGATTTCTACCTCCATCTTTCTTACAAAGAAATTGTATCTTTGTGACCTTTGAGAAAGCCCTCATATTTTTAACACTCTCTTGCAATATGATTTTTTATTTTTGTGCATTTTGTGCATGCATTGTCAAGCATGTTGAAATGTGGAGGAACAGATAATGGTTCACAACTGAACAGGGCTTTACAGTCGAAACGCAGTGTCTCTTTCCTTTCCTTTCAGCATGGAATAAACTGTTTTTTGCAGCCTGTGCGTGCTGCTGAAGCTATCTACTCAAACATGTTGAAATATGGACATTATAGTAGTTTTGCTTTCTAAAGTAATTTGAAAAGGAGCTTGGAGGACAACTCTGTATATTTTGATGAATCTACATCAAAGCTAAACTTAATCCATCGGCTAGAAACTAAACCATATTAGTCAGCTTTATTGACAAATTGAGATCATCATGGTTAAAGCAGTTGGAAAAAATAAACTGTTTGGTGTTTCAAGAATTTTGGTTGTCTCCAATGTAAAGAAAGCAACAGGAAATACATAATGTTGTAGTTCATGGTCTGGTTAAAGAAGGATGTGAAAGAAAGATGCTTCTCCTGGTACTGTTTTGTTGGAAAAGCAAATTTTGTTTTTTAATAGATCACAGGAGGAGCTGGCTTTGTGGGATCACATCTGACTGATAAATTAATGATGGATGGCCATGAAGTTACAGTGGTAGACAACTTTTTTACAGGCAGAAAAAGGAATGTGGAACACTGGATTGGACATGAGAACTTTGAGCTAATTAATCATGATGTCGTAGAACCACTGTATATTGAGGGTGAGTACAAACCTTAAAATTCAATAGACAAAAGGACACCAGCAAATGAAGAATTCTGAATACCAATAAAATCTTAAAAAGGAGGGGGAATATTTTCAGCAGCAGTACCAGAATCCTGTCATATCTCAGAAACTATGAAATATTTGACCTGGTTTATATAGGGATGGAAGAATTCTGAGGAATACCAGGCTGCTTGTATGTGGTGTTAGTGGGAACAAGAAATGGTACACAATCCTTCAGACCAGAATTTGCTAAACTAATTCCCGTGTATAGTGGCAGGGTACACTATGATATGAAGGTGACTATATTTGAATGACAATCCATCAAATAGTGGCTAAAGTGCTGAAGTGGGTTCACTCCTGTTTGTAAAGCTCATTAGGATCCTTAACATATCCAAGGAATTACAATTATTATTAAATTCAAGAGTAATTCGGTGTTTATTTAAAATGTCTTAAAATTACATTAGGCGGGGTGAATTGATAAATATAAAATCTCCAGTCATTGATTTTTCTTATCAAGCTTCTGAGAATGGTGCCCAGGGTGTGTTCCTATCACTTAAACCATTCAGGGCAATATAAAAAATGTCATAATGGAAAGTATTAATTTTTGTTTAAGGTTTTGAAAAAAAATTCATTGAAGAAACACACAAACTGAATCGTGTACTTGAATTTCCAATTCTCAGTCTGTGATGGCAGCAAACCTTTCTTAACCTATAACCTGTCCATGATTCCATGGGCTTTTAATATTTTAAATAATATGCAGTGAAACATTCTGCTACTATAGCAAATAGGGGGTCTTTTAAATTAGAAATTGATTTAATCTCATTAGCATGTGATTATATAACGTCTTAGCCTGGGAAATACAAACGTGAGGAAATTAAATGTCACTGCTGGACCCCTGTTGTTGCTACTTTACAGCTTTTTGGCAGAAATTTTATTTTTCTGTTTGCTTCATGAGCAGTGGTCATTGTATCTCTCTTGTGAAATCTGATTTCCACCTAGTTTAATATTTGCTTTGTAAACCTGTAATAAGATAACCTTTATGGATTTCCCATGCCAATTCCCACACACTTAAAGCTTTATGTTTTTATATATTTTGAAGAATGAGCAAAAACTCTTTGGAAGGATGTCAAGTATTTTTTTACACTATTTTATTTTTATAAGAAAGTTTACACCCTAATTTTATTTTCTTGTTCTTCCACAGTGGATCAGATCTATCATCTCGCTTCTCCTGCATCTCCACCAAACTACATGTATAATCCAATTAAAACACTGAAGACCAATACCATTGGGACTTTGAACATGTTGGGTAACTTTGATTAATAAGCTGTAAAGCACTTTTTATTTTCTAGTTTGTATATTTTCAGTAATTCAAATGTGAGACCATAAAAAAAACTAAGAGGTGAAAGCAATATATTAACTCTTAACTGTCTCTTTAAATAATAATTTAATGTTTGAGAAAGATAAACTAAAAGAAAATCTTAGACTTGGTAGTACAGCTATCATGTACCATAGACATTTTACTACCTCAAATAAATATATTAATTACCAACCAGAAGAGAAAGATGCCTTTCTCTGTTTTTTTTAATATTAAGCTTTTTATTTCTTGTGTAACGAGAGGAAGCGGTCTTGCAATACAAGATTTGTTCAGTCTTCCGAGTGGATAATATTAAGAGACTACAGAACAAAGTGCTTAACCAAGCATGGGAGAGTATATATTTCTCAGGCAAAAAAAACTTGTTTTGCACAAATTAGTGCTTTTGGCAAGATGTGCATCTCATAGAGAATCAGATCATGCTTGCCTTTACATTTGACTTGAAAAGTTCAAGAATTTAAAGTTCTACCTGACAATAGGAATACAGTAGGTCACATTTATCAAGATTTTATATTACATTTAATAGTTTAACATTTGGAAATTAACATTTAAAAATATTTTTATAAACCTAAGAAAAGTAGATTTTATTCAGTAGTCAAATATATACTGTACCTAATCACATATTCGCTATATTTCTTGCCAGATTTGTGATCTCAGTTATAAGCAAAAGCCATCATCATCAAAACAGTATTCTGGTTTCCTCTCCTCACTGTTGAAAATCTTAAATCTGTAGCAACAATCATAACATATACACTTCACCTGAAATTAGTCCAGTGAGGTCCTTAAAACAAAACATTTTTTAAGACCAAGTATAACCAGAGAGCAAATGTAAATTCAGGTTCTGGTTGTTGATTTATAGTTCATGCCCTTTGGTATATTGATATTTTCTTTAAACTACAATGTGAAGGTTTATAGTACCTACAGAAAGCTAAAGTTGATGTCTTGTATGTGTTGAATGTGATGGTGTTTTTATGAATGGCCCAGGTTCCTAACTCAGTTATACAGTATATCACATGTACACCTCGTAATAAATACTGAATTTAATTTCATTCCTACTTTCCTTTCTAGGCTTAGCTAAACGGGTTGGGGCTCGTCTTCTGTTGGCATCAACTTCCGAGGTATATGGAGGTAAGAAATCCATAAATGTCTGTTTGATGCTAAACCAATCATCGTCACTTCTGGTCATGAAGAGCCACAGGGCTTAATTTGATAATCTATTGAATTTATTGAGTTACCATATTGACTGGCCATACATACCGTTGTTTTCAGTCCTTTAGTCATTAAAGGGCTGTTTGTCCCTCACTACAAAAGTAATGGAATTCTAACAAAATACTTATTCTGCATTATATCCATTATACATAATATACTTTAGCTACATTATATAATTTAGCTACTTTAGTGTACTTTTAATTTCACACTTTACAAGCACTATTTTACAAGCTGCAGTTTTTTAGTTACAGAGGTTTAACTGAACTGTTCTCATGTCTGTATACCAAGAAATCATGTATGTATAGTTCTGAGAGCTTTAAGGTGTAGTGAACATCCTCAAAGTCTACATGCAGAAATAATCATGCTAAGAGTTTTAGATTCATATTTGAAGCTCACTGTTTCTGTGTGAAATCAGCCTGACTTTGGCATGACCTTCTCATATGCTCTTAGAATTGAGCACATTACAGTTCATCTGTGAAAGGGAGGATATTAGGCAAACATTCATATTAGTATTCATATTCATAATTCGTTATTTAAAATGGGCATTTTGTACCTAGACTATCTTTCCTGAAGGTATTGTAACCTCTGACCCATACATTTTTGATGCCATTTTAAAGCTCTTTTCCCATTTTCCAATTGATTAATTGGCTTTGTGGTTTATTACTGAATTAATAAATATTAAACTTTCACATTTTAATGATAAAAGACCATCTTTCTTTTTTATTTTTTTGTTGAACAAACTATAATGTGTAAACAGAAAATTACAAAATTGGACCCTCTAGTAGGTTAAGTGCTATAACAATTATACGATGGGGAAGAGGTGGTTTTGTCACGTTTTGGTCTTAAATCGATGTAGGATATTTTTAAACGACTTATTCTGGATAGCGTTGTTTCATTTATTTAAATGATTACACTCCTTTCTTCTTGTTAGAATTAGTCATAGTACTTAAACTAGTGGCAGGCTGACCTTGATTGAGAGCTATTTGACAGCCGTGCAAAGCTAATTGCATTGCAGGAGCAATGATGTGTGAAATAAGATAATTGATCATTGAGATCCCAAGTTAATTTTATTTGGTTGATCATTTTTATTTATGATTAGCACAGGGTATGGATGGTGGTAGGAGGCCAGTTTATATTCAAGGCAAATATAAAAAGTGGAATGGGTGTAAATTAAATTTTACAAGAGGGACAAAATCATCATAGCTCTTGGATCAAAGGGAAAAATGATTTATTTCTGCCTAAAAAGGGAGAATTGCAGTGACTATAACTAGGGTCTCGCTGTGACATTTATTCCATATTACGACTTCTGAAAATAATTATTTATAATTATAATTATTTTCAGAATTACAGGAGTAAACAGCAAGACAGACATGCCAGACATGCTACATTAGACACTGATTTGTTCATCAGTTGGTGCAGCACTGTACTGAGCAAACAGTAGTGGTATTGCTGTCAATATATATATAAACATCTCTAGAAATGTAGTACTTAATTTAGTCAAGTAAGATATTTAGAGTGTGTAACTATAATGTGGTATACTCTAAATAAATCCACTTGTACTGTTGGTTGTGCAAAATGATTGACCCTGGCCTGCTCTGATTTGCTTTTGAAAATGTATATTTTAAGCATGATAAGTCATATTATAAGATAACTCACATCAACAAGTGTATGTCAGCATCTGGCATTTGATAATGGTGTAAGAAGTAAGTAGTGAAATGAAGAACAAAAAAACAACTTTTTCAGATTTGCTTCTTTGTTTTCCTTCATGCATTTTGTTGTTGCTTGCCTTTGTCTGGTTTTAATTGGATTTAAAAGCCATTTTTGGACATGATCATAGATTATGCATATTCCAGTAAATGATTGCCTTGTTAGTATGATTCATACAGTATGTACAAACAGATTGGCAATTTAAAGAATAATAAATAAATAAATAAATGTTTTTTTTTTTAGTGACACCTGCTGACAACTTTATAAAGAAATACTGTTAAGATAAAAACTTAATAAAAGCAATGTCATAAGAGTAACACTAATGCATTATTTATCTCTTTAGATGGACTGCTTCTGGGTTTTTACAATAAAATTTCCCTGTGTTCTGTGTATGTCTTATGCATTTCTCTGAATAAGTAATACTGAGACTTTTAAAATTCTGTATCATAGAAAAAATATGCTTTCCCAATGCGGAACTAAATCACGTTTCATAACTCCATTTGTTGTCACATTTTAAGTGATCCAAGTGAATTCGTTTCCTAAATCCTTTAATATAAGGCTTGAAGACAAATAAAAATATATCAGATAAAGGTCATGATTGACTCAGACATTATATAGATGAAAATCATGAACAGAATTGTGTAAGTAAATAATCTGTAATAATCATTTTACCTCTAATATTTTTTAGTTCTTATTGAATGAAGCAAGATGGAAATAGAAACTGCACAGAAGTTTAGTGAATCTTGCTTACTAGTAAGACCTCGTTAAGAATATTAAGTGCAATTCTGGTCACTTTAATACAAACAATATATTTCACTAGAATAAGTTCAGAGAAGAAAATATAGCTAATTTTTCAGCTCAAAGGAATGTCCTACTCTTATAGGTTAAAAAGACCTGAATATTTTTAGTCTTCTCTGCACAAGACAACAAGAGGACCTGAGTCAGATATCCTTCAAGAGAACTTAATTCTGTAGAGTTCTTCAGAATTAACAATGACATGACACATTAAGCAGAGGTTCCAAATGGAAACTGCGAGGGTGTTCTTTACACAAAGTTGCCAAGGTCTGGAACAAACTACACTGGCTATATTTTTAGGCTGACGCCATAACTTCTTTAAAAACAGCTGGATTAAATACCTGCACGAAACCAATTAACCTAGATTGGCCAAATGCCCTGCTTTCATGTGCTAAATTGTACTCTAATAACGATGCCTGTGAGAGTCATTTATTTCTCTGATGTGATAAGAAAATTCTGAATTCCTTCACAGATCCAGAAGTTCACCCCCAGAGTGAGGATTACTGGGGTCATGTCAATCCGATTGGACCTCGAGCCTGCTATGATGAAGGGAAGCGTGTAGCAGAAACCATGTGTTATGCTTACATGAAGCAGGTAAAATCACCTGATATCGGACAGTTGTATAATGAAGTGAAAAGTTAAAATACTACAAATACTAAAATGAAAGAAGAAAAATAGCTATTTTGCATCTTTTGGTAATTCCAAGACCTTAAATTTCCTTTTGGGATTTTTTATGTCTGTGTAATTAAATACAGGTAAAAACAGTATAAAGCATTCAAATGATTTTTTAAACAAAATATTACATTTGAGGTAATATTTGCTGTTAAAATACAAATGGGTTTTTTAGTTCAATATGTGAAAATTATTCAGTTACATCGAAGCACTAGAGGTAAATTATGTAAAGGGTGTGCACACGTATACAACCAAGGTATTGAAAGTTTTTTTGAAAAGTATTTTTCTTGAACATTTTCAGATTTTTAACCTAAATATTGTTGGTTACAAGAACTTATTACAGGTCCAAAAAGGTCTGAGGTGATTTGTCTTGATTTTAGCCTTTACATCAACAAAAGCTGAGATTTCAGTAAGGATTTGTAGACTATTGATATCCACTGTACGTCTCTGACAAATAATTGTTAGTTTCATTGAATTATGAGAACTATCATTCCTTGCTTTAGTTAATGTATAAGTGAAATTGATCTCTATACTATTATTTTCCAAAAATGAATTTCCAGGGTCTAAGAGTAGGATATGTGTAATATTGTGCCACAAGGTCCAGTCAACCTTTTGTGCAGTAAACCACATATTGCCAAAAAGTGTATTGCTTACAACGTTCAGCTTTTTAGCTTTGAAGCAAATTATGTAAAAGACAAAAAGCAAACACACACAATGAGTTACAGCAAGGGAAAGAGACAATTGATCTTTTCCATCAGTGCAAAATCAACAATAATATAGTTTTTAGCGATAAGAAGCAAATCTTAGAAAAATACAAAGTATTCAGGCAATCTGAATGACAATTCCAAGAAAACATAGATGTTTATTCTTCATGGATGCTGACAGCATTATTAAGGAATTCCACATTTGTGCAGTGGATTATGCTGTGTATCATTAGCTTATTCAGTATCTTAAACACAATACTTATTTACCCTGCATGATTTGTTCTTGTTGGAATAATTATTTGAATTAATGGTGTTGAACATTTTATTTACAAAGATACTGTTTTACATTGTGATCTAATTTTATGTAAGTTATAAATGATTCATTATCTGAATTTACTATTAAACTAGCTCTTTCATTCCATGAATGCCTTGAATAATAACAGTGACCATGGCACTTAAAACACTTGACTTTATGGGATATTGAATTTTTTAAATTACCCATTGCACCATATCATAAGTTCCTGAAATACTTTATTGTATTTTGTTTGTTTATTAAAAAAATTTAGTCTACAGAAATCAAATTCCAAGAATCCATTGTTACCAGATTTGTCAGATTTCCCACCCTGTATGTATTTCCTTTTAATTTCCAAGGCTGTTCTAAATTAAATTTTAGAAACATAATTTTTTCTTCTCCTTTGTTTTGGAAACATACTGTAACAAGACTCATGAGAGATTTTATTTTTTAGGTAGATATGAAAAGTGTCAAATACTTGGAAATAGATATCAGGTTCAAAGAGGGAATGTGAATGTTACTTGTATTTACAACATTATAATCATAATCATCCACATCCTTTGAACCCGTTTGACGTTTGCTACTTCATACTTTGTTTTTATGTTTATGAGGTCAGTCTTAGGTGCTAGTCTGCCTGAAATGTTATCTGTATTATGACAAAATCTTTTTGGAGATTCACAGTTATATCTTTGGGTGAGTGATTGAATCATTTACCCAAATGTACAGTATAGAGAAGCCACCATTCCATTAACTTTGATTATGGACACCACAGTCAGTACCCTGTGATGTACTGTGTTTTAAGCCATCAATGGATTTGTTGAGGTCAATACTCATTTTACCTTAGATCTGACTTTGTCCAAGATGAAATGGTACTGAATGTTTTGTTTCAGGCTACTTTAACTCCTAATTGCAGTGAAGATGATTTCCTGAGATTTTGCAAACTTGCTAAAGACTTTGTGGAACTGCCGTCTGAGCAATAAAATACATGATTAAATTAACAGCATTTACTTTTAATTAATTTGTGTGGCATAAATACATATGAATAAATGTGCTAAAAGAATGTTTCACACAGGTATATACCACAGAAGACATTAATGACAAGCGCCATGTTACAAAATGAACTGTGGTAATATGATTGATTCTATCTTAACAGATACCAAAATTCTGCTGGAGCTAAGACTGTCAAAAAACACTTAATCAGGTTCTGCTGGTATTTGTTTCCAGTCGTACATAGCCAAATGATGCATAAACTCCTACCTGGGATAATAAAAAATACATTTATAATTGATGTAGTATCCACTGATTGGAGACTTTCAAATGTAACACCAGAGGTATAAATTAGAAGAAACTAGAAGAGTAGTTCACACTTTCTATTGCATTAAAAAAATGGCTTGCAATTGAAAACTTAAAGCAACATAAGAAGGAGAATAGGAAACACTTCTTCATTCAAAGAATTGTGAATACCTGGAATAATGGCCCTGCCAGGTAAATCAGGCCCCAATTCTTGACCCTTACCCTAACCCTACAAATTAGGCTACATGTGAACATAAAAGAGTTTCCAAAAAAGAAAGGAAGTTTGAAACTTAATTGGGCTAATCTCTAATCTTGTTGGAAACAGGCACTAAGTTTGGAAGATAATAATTGCTTACTGTGCTCTAATCTTTTCTTCAGAAGTGTTTTTCATCTCACCTAAGAGATGTTTTGCTAGGTAGACTGTGCATAATGTAGGACTAATCCAAAGGGAAAAGAAGAATTTAAAGGAATCTTTTCAATGCAGAGAAAGATTCAGAACGGTCTTGCCCTTTTGTTTTAGTGAGAATGAGGTTTTGACATTTTGAAAAAGCTATAAGCATGACACAAGACCTTTTAGTATGACACGAAAGAAATTTTGCTGGCCAGGGAAGACATTAAGTGGTGTTTTGAAGAAGAGATTCAAATAGGTGTATTTAACAATTCTTTTTTGCTCATAGAAGTAATCTTTCTCACACCATTTTAGTGTCCTGTTTAGTATTTTCAGTTTTATATATATCCTGTTTTTATCTAAGCTGTTTCTCCTCATAAATGTTCAGTGTAGTAGGACTTTGATTGGGTTCGCTGCAGGCTGTCATCAGACCTCCAGCTTGTGATGGAATGTATGCCTTTACAACATAGAAGACACAAAAATTAGTTCAACCCTAAATCATAAAATTGGATCTGG